ATATTTATATATCCTTTTCAGAGACTTTCAGTGAAGAAAGTTTCAGTGAGAAAGCAGCAATCCATTCTAACAGAGCAATTTGCTCAGTATAAGAAACATTTTCTTTCTATGTAGAAATGTTCATACCAAAAATGCATTAATTCTTGTCCAGTCCTATAGGCACAGAAAGCTGAATATTCCTTTCTTAGACTTAATGCAAAGCTGCTGGTCATATCTTCCCTTGGCCTTCCCCTCCTCAGGTTAAATAACTGCTGTTTTTTTCAGTAGTTCCTTACTGGTGCCATGTTCCAAATTTTCTATCATTCTTTATTTCCTCTGGTCTTTCTCCAGCTGTTCCATGAAAGGCAGTGGTCCAAGGTGAACGTGATTCTCAGATAAGCTGGTGCCAGATCTATGTAGAGCTTATGACATGACATGCCTTGCAATCTATTTACTTCTGCTCTGTGACAGTCCAATCTTTTTCACAAAAAAACTGTTGACTTCTCTAAGATTTGTGATCCATTATAGTGTCCAGCTCCTTTTCAGAAGCTCTACCTAACCAGTTTGTAGCTTGCACTTAACCTACCCTAATGAATCTAATGCTAGTGAAGGAATCATTGCTGTAAAATAAATACAGTTATTGAAAAATGAAGAATGGTGGTTGAACCCTTTGTCTTTTAAATAACAGATCGAGGAGTGAAGGAGAGGGAGAATTATCAACTTACAAGTATGCCAGGAATTTGAATTTGTGTTTCCCGTAAGTCAAGCTAGTGTTCCAACTGGAATCTTCCTTGTTGTTTTTATTAATATTTAAGAATATACGTGGCCAAAAGAAACTTTTAATATTGATTTATCATTGGCATAAAATAAACTGATGAAAAGTCAGATTTCTTGCATACCACAACAAAATGTTTTGAATAATGTTGATTTTCGCAAGAAACATGAGTTAGTTTCAGGGGAAAACGGAAGCACAATTATCTACACATAGAACCAATGCAAAGGAGATGTCACATTTGAAATGTATACATTTGGTCAGTTGTAGTTCCTTTTCCTATTAGTCATTAATGCATTAAATTATTAAAACAGTTTCAGTTTAGCAGCAATTTATGCTGTCCTTTGGGAGCATTGCTGATTGACTAGGTTCTCTGAGTGTGGAAGCAGTTCATGTTCCCTGCACTCTCGTCTCATATAAAGCAGGAGAAACCTCAAATATAGTGGGTTCTTGTGGTAGTCTAGAGGATGCCACCAGGTAATACGTATGACTTGACCTGTCAAATACCTTGCCTTGAGTCCATCAACACCTACTCTAGCAGGGTATGAAGCACATGGCTCACGCTCATGCATTCAGGCTGTGTTTCTACAACTGCTACAGAAGCATGCCTTCAGAAAGTCTGTAAGAGATGCCTTCCACTCAGCAACCACCTTCACTGCAGTGCTCATAGTGCTTTACAGGACCAAAGTTCCTTCTTTTTGGTATGATCTGGCTTGCCAGTCACCACAGACTGGTATTGGTTGGTTGCACTGGCTTGCAAGTACTTCTGGATTAACCACAATGCCTTCTGTCCTGCCTGGTAGGGTATCATTAAGAATACGGAAGGAAGCCGGCATTAGGTGGGAGACTGTGATGTGTTGTGAGGATGGTTAAAAAACCCAAACTCACAGTTTCTGCTGCTTGTGGCTCCGATTGCTTGTTTTATAATTGCTTTTGGGGATTAAAGGAACAGAGTTGGCTCTCAGAGGCTCACAAATCTCAGCATTCGTACTGCTAAATACAAGGGCTTTTTAAAAGGTTTTGAAAATACATATTTTGGCTTGTTAGTCAAATATAATGCTGTTTAAATGTTAAAAAATACTGTGTTTCTTGAAATTAGAAACGAAGCTGCTGTCTGCTTTTATTCTCATTTCAACCAAAAAGTGGAACTCCGCCAAGAGTCATTAAATCTTCTATCTTTTGGATGAATCCTTATTTTTTTTATGAAAAAATGTTATGATTGGGTAATTTGTGTATTGTGGTTTATGTTCAAAAGGTTGTAATTAAAGTTTTGTAAAATTTGGGCTCCAATCTCAATTACTGTAAACCTCATATTATGATGTTGACTGATGTACCACCACCTTGCAGTGGAAATGGTTGACAAACACGAGTTTGTCTTCTACAGCAGGTTTATAAAATATTTGGTATTAGAAACCTGAATAGAAAAATCCATGCTGATGGCTTGCAAATGCTGTTAATCAGTTGGGAAATGTGAGATTTACAATGTGTTAAGAGATCTCGTGACTGAGAAGCACCCTCATATCATTTTTGTTAAGGTTTTAAATATCTTTCTATATTTCAAAAATAGGATAATGTACTTATAAAACACTTTGCACAACACTCAAAATTGCAGTAAGTGATTGTAATTCCGCTGATCTCATTGTAACCACTTAGAGGCGTAAAATAGGCCATTGAGCTTTACCAGGAAAAGTATCTTTTGAACAAAAGTAAAGATAATATAGGATGAATTGCCCTTTGGGGGTGCCTATGTCCCAGTTGCTAAGACTTGGCATGTAACTTTAGACAGCTAAAATTAGGTGAGATTAATCTTACTTGTGTTTAATAAAATACTATAAAATTTGTGATGTAAAACACTCTCTGAAAGGGACATTTTTGTTTGTAAAATGTTTAAAAGTGGAAACTCAGATGATACAGAAGATGACACTGTTATCATTACGTTCAAAGAAGAACTGAGATCTACCCTAAGAAGTAGTTGCATTTTGGCCATCTAATATGCAATTGTAAAATGCTTCCAAAACTGTTAAACAAGCTGATCCGGTGAGTGTTTATATTTAGGTGCACAGAAATACTCATCTTCACCTTGATTTCAGTGGCGCTACTGCGATATCCTATAACAGGGATAAAGCAATACAGGCACATGTAATAATGGCACATTACTAGAAGTAAAAGGTGTAAAAGCTGTTTAAGGCTACTTTCTTCCAGTGTAAACAATTTTAGTGGTAGACTAAACTGTGTTTTGGAGCAAAAACTAATTGTTATTCCAAACTTCCTACATTATAATACGTCATGTATAGCTAGAATCACTGAGTCAGGTAGGCTCTCTTGGCTTTCACACCTATTGAGAATGCTCATACACAATGTAAAACCAAAATAAATGGAAGTCAATATATTAATCAGTAATAGTCTGTTTTCAGCCTACTTCAGTGGCACTGAGGTGTGTCTGATTAACGAAACACTTTAGTTATTTCCTTATTTGTTGACAGCAATGTATGCCATATTTCACATGAAGATATTAAGTGGTTATTGCTACCAGGAGGGATAATTTAACAAATGCTTCCCTTTTCTGGAAATGCCTGTTCCCAGCTCAGAGCAGTGTTATTCTATCAGAATATCAATACCTTTGCGCTACTGCAAGTTAGAAGTCACACAGAAAAATCAAGAACAAAAGATTGATTAGAAATTTTTTGTTGTTTTTTTAATGATGACCCTAGGCATAGATTAATGGATGTAGCATGCACAAAGTGATATCAGTTAACATATATGACATTACTCAGATGTCTCAAACTCCGGAAAAAGCATGTGAATGATTTATGGAATTGATATTAATCTCTTTCCAGTAAATGCATTACTAAAGTTACATGGGAAATTGATGTCACTGCCGTAATGCCAAATTAATTTCTTTCTTGCTAGGTCAGCATTGCAAATGGAACTAAATATTAACCTTTTAAATATCTAAACAGAATATACCATGGAAGACATTTTTACAAGGGGGGAGACACTTAGCATTGATGTGATACCAGCTAACAAACATTGCATTAGTTGGGTATCTTAACTTGTGGAAAATAGATATTAATGACTTATGGAGCTAATGGCAATGTGAGAATAATTAGTATAATAGCATCAGTAAAGAATTAGTATGTTAATTGTAGTTGGTGTGCTGATTATAATTTTCACAGTCGGTTTATCTTCTGATTATCATGCTACCTTCTTCAAGACCTCACCTTTCTCTCCTGCCTCTGTTTTTTGCTGTTTAACTGACCTGAGTGGGACTAGAATAAGCAACTGGAAATGGAAGCAGAAATGTCTGAGACCAGATAATTGTAAATTCAGAGCAGATTTTCAACAGCCTCTCTATGAGAAACAACCAAATAGAGCAGTAAACCTTGGTCTGGAATAGGCATAACTGAAGAGGAATATGTTAGAGGTCTATAAAATCATGATTCCTAGGCAAAATGTCAGTGAATATGAAACAGTTGTACCCTGTCTGTTCTCTTTGTACAAAAACTAAGGGCCGTTGAAAGAAACTAACAGTTAACGTGTTGAAAGCAAACAAAGAAGAATGGTTCCTCACATAGTGTTGAATTAAACTGTGAACCTTCTTCCTGCAGGATGTTGTGGATGCTAAAAGTTTATGTGCCATGCCTTCAAGCATAAAAGAACAACTGACAAGACGAGGGAAGAAAAATCAGTTGAGAGCTACTAAACACTGCCACCATCTCTGGCTCAGATGGTTCATGAACTGTACAGTGTAAATTGGGGAATTATTCTGGGCAGGAATCTTCAAACAATTGCTTTGTGCCCATGCTCTTCTCTAGGGATGCATTTCTGGCAGTTACTCAGTTACAGACCTTGATCTCACCTGATACATACATCTGGTTAAATGGTTAATCACTTTTCATACATATGATAATCTTTTATTATTTTCTAAAAAATAGATTACAGGTTCTACTTACAAGCCAAAATTAACATCATGCAAAACTATAATTTGATCAGATAATAGGAAGGAAAATCTTACACTTATTGTTTCCATTCAAACTAATTTTCTTAGGAAGATAGTGATTGAAGATGGTGTGCGAACACCAACAGCAGTTGTCCGGAAACACACCTGGTACAGATCCAATCTTAAGGTTTCACAGTACACATTCCTGGTACTGACATTTCCATCAGTCTTTCAATTTTTGGTAGGATTTTTGTAAGCTTGCTCTTTGACAGTGAAGGAATGAAAGAAATTCAACTTTGTACTTTACACAAAGATGTTTACATCATTTTTGAGAATAAGCAGCAGGATTTTCATATATACCAGGTTCTGAGATAAATTTTCCAGTTTCCATTTTCCTGGCTCTGTTCAGAATTTTCCATCTGGAAAAATGATAGAGGGAAATACAAGAAAGAATAGCAATGTCCCTGCCAGTGTGAAGGAACATTACATTACACTGAACAAATATCCTTATCTGAATGTACAATCACTGAAATAAATGCAGCTGTGTTTATTTCAGCATAATCAGATATATTTGAATATAAAATCATGGACATAAATGCAGCTGTGTTTATTTCAAACTGCACATGTTAATATGAACATGAATGTGACATCAGTTAATCACTCATGAATGTATGGAGGTATGTATATATGGTGGCACAATGGAATACTGAGATAGTTGAACGTATAAAATGGAAAAATCCAGCTGAGATTGTTCTTTACCTAAAATCATTTCTAACAGCATTGGAAGTCACTGATGAGGAGTTACAAAAATTCTTCTCATATGAAATTTCTCCATTTGAATAAATCTATGGTTACTCTACAGAGTAACAGGTGACCTTCAGTTACTGACTATGGAAATAATTGGTTTGAATAATTGCTTCTTAAAATAGAGAATTGTGTTAGTTTTCAGTGATGGGTAGGTCCAGGTCGTTCTCTTCTGATGGGTGCAGCACAGACTTTACAATTTCGAGCCTTAAAAAGAGCTTCCAACCACCCTTATGCAGTTTCATCTTGCTGGGTTCTCAGAGAAGCCCAGGGAAAATACAGTGCAGAGCAGTGCCACTGGAAAGATATCGGTATCGTTTGTTTTATTATGGATGCTTCTCCTTGCAGGTTTCCCCTCTGCCTTCACTGTCCTGTTTATATCTTTAATTTCTTATAAATCAGAGCCATTCAGAACTAGACGAAATTGAGAAGTGTTCTTTACTCTGCTTATGCAGAAGGTGCTATGTAGATTATCAGAAGGAATGGCTGTATTCAGCATTAAAGTGACAACAGAACAGTAAATATTTTGGAGCCAAGGGGTTTTGGAAAGGCTTTATTTTCATCTGGGAGAAGGCTGAAATATTCTGCTAGACTAAGTAGTAGTATTTTGTTCAGTTAGTTCAATAACCTGTAATAGTATCTCTGTTTTGCAGAAGACAGTAGCACAAAAGACATGGTTCTTGACTGCCTAGCACCTTTTGTAGTGAATCTCAGCTGTGTGAAATGAGCACAGAATGGCTGAGAAATGTTAAGAGTGCTTTGCATCTGTTTCATGTGAACTGAATGGTGAAATCTCAGTTCTTATAGATTGGATCAAATAGTGAAGAATGAGGGAACAGAAGGAAAGGGGCTGAAGCAGAGAAAATATATTTGAGACATTTATACTGTGTCCTGGACTCGGAGGGATGTTGGCTGTGTGCACAGAAGTGCGCTGCTGCTGTTTCTCTGTTACTGTGTGACTTGCAAGATGGTGCTACTCATTTCCTCAGGACATAGCTTAGGCAGCACTAACTGGGAGAACAATATTTCTTTTCCTTGCTTCACATCTGTAGAGAAAAAAATACCTTTGATTTATTGCATTTTCATTTTAGTTTGAATGAGTTGAAGACACTGGAGCAGCCTGCCCAGAGAGGAGCACAACCATCCATGGAGGTATTCAAAGCCTGAGTAGGCGCAGTATGAAGCAACCTCTTCTTGCTGACCCTGTTCTGAGCAGGGTGGGTGGACCTGACAGTCTCCAGAGATCCCTTCAAAATCACTTTAGAAGTGATACCACTCCTCCTCTTCCCCCCCCCCCCCCCCCAGATTTACAGTACACTTCAGATAGATTCTGTTCTTCTTGTTCTCTAAATTGTTTTAAAATTCTCAACTGCCTGCTGTGCCAAAGTTAACAAGCCAAATGAAGCTCTTTGCTTGTTTGAGCTGCCACTGTAATGCAGGAAGAGACAAAACACTGAAATGCATAATGGTCTGTACTTTTGAAAGAGTATTGGTTGAAAAACATACTTCAGAAGGGGCTGTTCTGCATAAACTAAATGTATTTTTTTTTTTTTACCTGATTGACACTATCTGATTTTAGGGGAAAATATTGTAGAATATTTTGCTCAGCCTAACAGGAATTTGGATATAAGTTATTAGGTGGGAAACACGTTATTTTGGATACATGCAGAGCTTCATTTTGCATTTATTGATTCTGTTTAGTAACCTAATTGCCTTCTTGGTTCAGCCTTTAGCATGCTAATTTTGATTTAGCGTTTGTATTGCTGAAAACAAACTGGGAACAAACCATATATTATCACTGTGTGTTCTTTGGACAGCTACTGGAATTCCAGGATCTACTGCAGTAGCATTATGTGAAGGTAAATTACCACAATATATTAAGGGTTATTATTATATTCTAACAATTTCTGGTAGAATCACATCTATTTTCCTCTCATCTGAAACTGTAAGATAGCTTTTTGTTCCAAAGAAGTATAATTTATTCTGATTTTAAAAACGTTTTTGAATGTTTATGGTTGTTACTGTACTACATTCTGAACAGTTCCCTTTTAGTAGCCTTTGCTAAGATTGTAAGTGACTGGCAAATAGGTAACGTGAAGAACTTGTAAGCCTTTTTTGTGAATGCAGTATGAAAATATGTAGAGCTACATCTAGCTACTTTTTTCCTTCCAGCATTTTGGTGGTCAGCTTAAAAAAAGATGTTCAATGGTGGGTTTTGAAATGACTGAATAATAATAATTATTTTGACATTTTTGTTCCTTTTTGTCTTTCTTATCTGCAGTTTTTATTTGCTTATGTTGTTTCATTTATATAATTCATCTTTCATATTACTGTGAATTGTATAATGAAATATCTTCAGTGCGCTAGTGATCATATAAATGGACATATACCTGCAGTGAGCTGTCTGCCATTTGTGTAGGCACAGTCAAATTAGGCTGTATAGCAATGTCAGCACAGCCCCAAATGTTTTGAGACTAGATAGATGCTGAGATGGTTAATTCACTCCTGAGGTTTGTGCCATTACCGATACATTGCTATCAAAATACCAGAACTGGCTAATTTGTGTCTGGGCCGGGTCAGGTGACATACAATGATGCACTTGCTCCTCTGAAGTACATTGTAGATGCACTCTTTACCAAACAGGGAAAGGAGCAGCAATATTATAATTAACGTATGTTTTCTTCTGAAAAATAAAATATGATAGCAAGCTGCCTGTGATTTTGTGGTTATTGCTGCATGTGTTTCCTGTGGCTCTTCTGTTTCAGTAGCTTCAGGATCGATCCATTCTCACTTATCCCAAACACTTGTCATCCTCTTACTTGGTTGTTGCAATGTTATCCTGCCTGTTCTCTTTCCTCTCTGCATTTTGGTAAATGTTATTACTGAAGTATCTTCTTTTGTATGTTGAGAGAATGTTGAGCCCACTTCTTGAGCCTGTACATTGAATGCTATACCAAATTAAACCCTGTTATCTCTAGGGCTCTATGTTATCGGCCTTTCATTAGCATTTGTTTTGTTTTTCATTATTCCCATCTGTGTGCTCTTCTTTATCCTTTTGGATATAGTGATTCATTTATTTCCTTCCCTCAAATTTGCATTTGCAATTTCATCAGTAAACATTTTTGTCCCTTTTATTTCAGTCATGGTTTCCCATTATCACGTGATTTTCCTCTGCAAATATCCTTATTTTTTTTTAACTTGAAAGATTTTCTTATAGCAGTCTTTCCAAATTATGTCTCTTTTGTTTTAATTATTTTCCTTATTTATTTCAAGGAGCTGGGATCTGGAACTGTTAATGTTTAGTGATTTCTTGTCCTTAATCAGTTTGCATGTACTTTTGGACAGGAAACTCTTCTTACCAGAAACTTCAGCTGTGCACTTTAAATCTTTTCTCAAGCAAGGAGATCTATTCCAGATGCCAGATCTTCAGTGCATGGTCCAGGGCCAAAATCAATGGAAAAATCTTTGCAAAACAACAATTTTTGTTGTCTATGGATCAGATCACAAGCTTGTGAAACTTCCTATGAATTAATAATTATGTGGCATTTGGGAAAATGTTCTGGTTTTCAGTGAGCCAGAGGTCAGTAAGACTGAATGCTGGAAGAGAGGTAACGGGTTAGACAGCATGAAAATAAGAACATTCTAATGATTACAATCAAGTTCAATTGGAAGTGTCTGTGCAGTATGTCTGTAGTGTAACAATCATTATGACAACTAGATACTTCTTATAGTGTGCATACATGACTTCCAAGACCTCTAATTTTTTTTTCTCTTTAGAATGTTAGCCTAGTTAATAACAGCTTATGCTTATAATCTCTTACCCTAGATCACCTTGTGCTTTACAAGGTGCTTTTGTTTCCATTTCATAGTTCAGAAATCTGAGGCTCACAGAAGTTAAGATCTTCAGTGTTATGCAGTAGAATCACTATTTGAAGCATTTTGACATTATCTTCTTTGAAGTACACTAATTGGATTTAAACCCACACCTTTGATTACTCTTTAAAACTGAATAAAGTATGTGTCATCCTGAATCACAGTGGATTAGGCGGACTTTCATTTGTTGGGATAGTATTTTAAAGTCCGCCATGCTTCAACAGATAATTAGGAATAATAGATATTCTTGCAGATATAACAATAAGTGATATTATTTCAGCAGTACAGAAAAACTTAAATCCTGTTGGAAAAATTGTGTTAGGTTATCTCCACTGACTCAGGCTAAAGAAGAATGAACCAGCGGACTAAAGAAAGGAGGAGACAGGACAAGCAGTATCTTTTTCAACCTATTCAGTTATGGCTGATTTAACCCAGATGGGGAGATAAGGAATATTGTGTGCTTTGAGAATACTGTAATAAGCTTTGTTAACTAATAACTGTTAAATTGTTGTTTCATATGAGAAAGAAAGAAAGATGAAATCAGAAAGTTACTATTATTTTATAATAGTGATTTAGTCTTTATTATCTATGTGGCTTTATAGTGATAGGGAATATAGGCTAGTATATTTTAGCAAAATGAAATTCCAAAGAGTATGAACTAGAAAATAAGGAAAAAATTAATTATGGGCTGATTAATGCAACCCAGTGTTATTTTAGTGTGTGATTTTAGATAATCCTTCAGGTTCCCTGATGTCCCTTATTATATTCTTATTTGTGAAAAAAATATTTTTGTTTATAAACTGATATTTACAATACTTCTACCATCCTACTGAATTACAGGAAGCTGCTCACCTGCTCAGAATTAGAAGTCTCTTTATTTGCAATTCCTAGCTAGTAAACTATTTCCACCTTTAGAATAGATGTCGGGACTGCCATTTTTCTTGTCAATCTGGGATGTTCAAGAGCAAAACGTCCTTCTGTTACTGACTTACTTGCACGTCAGCAGTATGACAGAAAGTCATCTTTCAGTCACAGAGTTCATGTGTTCATGTCAGTATGGTAAAAACATGAAAATGAAGACAAAGACTTTATAAGTTCCTGGTTTTGAAGACTGGCTTTGAAATTTGGTTAAATCTAGTGACTTATATGAAGATATCTTTCATTTGAAAGTTTTAGACTATTATAGTAACGTTTCAAAATTGTTCTGATACATTAAATATCCACTTTTTTCCAAGTAGATAAATAAAAGAAGTACATACTAGAAAAAATTAAGAGCTAAATATTGTTAAAATTAGGAACCATGAATAGTTCTTTACTTTTTAAGTTGATGATTGTTTTCTTAATGCAACTGCTTGCACAAGGTTTTATAATGTAATAAATCTTTCTAATGCTTTTAAGAGAGAAAAAGATTTTTGTATGTCATGAGGAATATGTTGTAAAGTGCACACATACAGATTCCAACTCAAAATTGAAATTAACCTTGGATGTATTTAAAGAAGTAATTTTAATTAACCCTTTTATCTCACAGTTAACATGCATTTTGTGCTTAAAGGCTTATATTAATACCACAGCGACTTCTTATATAAGAACAAATAATTGTTTTTAAGATGAGACTTTGGTATAAAATGACCTTGCTCTGGGTTCACTGACGGGGTGTACTATTAGAAGTACAATACAGTATATAACAAAAGTAGTGGGGCTTGTTATTTTTAATTGAAAGGGTTTGATACCTCTTCGTATTCTTAAATAAGCAGAGGTAAAGTGGAACCTTTCTTTAGAAGTCCAGTAAGACTAATTTTGAACAGGAATAGTTCTGCTAAATGTGTGTGTACATTACTGCTTTTGAAGTCTCAAAAGCAACATTTGAACTGTAAAATTGACCAAGGTCAATTTTGTCCAAGGTCAATCATATCCACGAGAAACAATAATACAGCTCAACAATCACTCTATCATGATTTAAGTACTAATTGCTTAAAAAATACTAGTTTGTTTTCTGGGTTTGTGGAATAACTTGTAAGAAGACTTTGGTTTGAAAATCTACAATTTCTTTTTTAATATTTTGGTTTTGCTCTTTTTGGAAAAAAACATGGTCCTACCAAAACCAGACCCATGATAGTAAATTAGATACAAAAGAGATACAGTCAAATAAAATTTAATTTTAATCCACTTAATTGGAATCTTGAGTCAAGTTTAACTGGGCATCTCAACAGGCTAGAAACTTCTGGGTATAAAAGAATTACTAGAAAAACAGAAAAAGTCAGGTCGTGATGTGATTGACTTTGTCTATTAACACAAGAGCATCTCTGCAGACCATGCCTTTATATAGCCCAAACCTCCCACTTAGCTCACCATCCAAGGTTTTGCAAATAGCTTATTGACTCACATATGCCTCTGGCTATACCCTGCACTTCAGCCTATATATAGACATGAGTAATATGAGAATAATTGGTCTGCTCTTGTCTGAAGATTTCTTTCTTAATGGAGAATAAACATTACAAAGATCAATGCATCTCAGCTGAAGACGTGCAGCAGGGTTGAGATTATGTGCCTCCTCATGAGGCACAAGCTGAGATCTGTAAGACCAAGTGCTACCTGTCTTTCTTAACAGATGGGTGGCAATCAGACCTGCAGTGTGATGGAAAGAGCCAGAACAAGAAGCTGAGACCATGCCTTTGAATTGTGAGGCCACACTTCCTCTTGCAGAAGCTCTGGCTTTCTAATTAGCCCAGGCAGAAGAAGCTTGCTTGCCCCTGTTTCATAGATGTAGTCCTGTCTCCATGTCTTATCCCCTTCCATGTCCCTCTGAGTTCTCTGGCTCATATTAATTGCCTGCTAATATAGCTGCAATTTTATAGAGTTGCAATCTTTATAGAGCTGTTTCTTCAAGATGTTGTAATAATTCCCAGTTTGACAGTTGGATGACATTGGCTGCATTGCTTATTGGCAGAGGTGCTGGTTATTTTTTCCACTGTAGCAGCAGCATTTGTTTAAGAATTTGATTAAGAAGAAATGAGACTTAAAACCATAGTCATATTTCATAGGGCTTTCAAAATCATTGTTTCCTTTGTGTTTTGTGTGTTGAAGATAAAGGTGAAAAGTAACAGCATAAGTAAAAGAGAAGGTATGAGATTTTGTTGGCATGGGAAAAAGGGAAGATCTGAACTCCTTGGTTACAAAGGCTTTCCTTTGGTATCCTCTCTGTTTGATGAGGAGGTGTGAAGGAGCCGAATACAAAGGGCATGCTGAGAAGGGTCTACCTCTTATTATGAGTTATTTGATTGACTGTATAACACTTGAATTGTCCCCACATGGAAACACAGTATGTGAGAATCAAGAGAGGAACTTTGGAAGTGTCTTTTAAAGTGTTGATTTGATGAAGTTTTCTGTTTAAACCCACTGAAAGAGATGTTATTTGTCTCACTTTTGCTCTGTCAAAAGAGAAATGACAAAGCAAAGTGGAATGAGCTGAAGGGAGATTTTGCCCTCCATTGGGAGCTTCTGAGCCTGCTCCAAAGTGAGATGCTTTCAGAGCAGAGTGATGTGGGTACATGAGGGTGAGGGTGCAGCAGGCAGGGAAGCTGGGACACCTGGAGACTGCAAAACTTGACAAATACAAGGAACAGAGACAGGGTTGGCCATGGAGGTGACAGTATTTTCTTGGAAATCCAGGGGAGGATTATCTAGAATTTGTTGCAATTCTGGCAATTTCACTGAGTAGAAAACTAAAGGCAGTTGTAGGAAGAGGTCTGCTCACAGAGACGCAGTGGGGAGGGAGATCTGTTTTGGTTTTTATTCCTTCTAATTTAGTAATTTTGAGGTTTCTTTATTTAAAAGCCAATTAATCTAGTTTCTTATACAGCAAACCCCCTGGTTTTTGTTTAAAAGCCTTATTGGCTTTTTGGAATTCTCACAAGGAAAAAATGTAGGCATTTTAATATTATCTCTGCCTCAGATTCTCATCCCATCCATCTTAAATCTATTTTCTTTCTTTAATCACCTGCACACTCTCCTCACAGTTCCCAGCTTGGTTTGTTTCTACAGCAGTTTGCAGTTCACACTTTTTAGACAACTGTATGTCTTATAGGCAAGGCAAATTACATTTCTTTTGTGACCCAAGCACAGATGGCCATATCCAAGAGGACAATCACTTGCGTTCTCCCTACATTTTAACCAACTTGAGAAGTTTACTGTTAATGAACTGAAATGTAAGACTGTATAAGGATGGAGAAAATGCTTTTCTCTCTTTTTGTCACAGTAATGCTTTTCAGTCTGTTGCTTAGCAGACCAATTTTCATGTCTCCTCAATATGTGGAATCAAATTACTTGTGATCATTCTGTAATTAATGTACCCTGAAATTCTGAGAAAATATGACAGACATGTAACCAACCGCTCCAGCCAAGCCATTACTTTGAAAGTAGTTTGGTGTTTACATGGCTGGAGACATGACTTTAATAGTTTGGTTCTGCAGTGAGGATATTGATAGAAAACAAATGCTCAGAAAGGAAAGTTGCACATTTTAAATGTACGTTGCAGTGTGTTTGAACGTGGAAGTGTATCCAGATGTCTACACATATATGTATACTTTATGGATAAATGTGTGCTTTCATGAAAATTGCTGTTTGTATAGATGTAGCTATTTTAAAAATAGCTCTCAACTGATTAATATTTTAAATTAGTTTTTAATGTTAAAATAATACATTGAATTGTAAAATGTACATGTTTTAGAAAATGTATTTTCATTGCAGACTGCCTCGTCATAAAAGTCTTCCCCTCAAATTCCTACCTTGCTCTCTACTTGTCCTTCACTCTCCTTATGTTTTAGGCATCTTTTGTAGATGAAATCCTCACTCTGTGTTAACATGAGGAGTAAAATAATATGTTGATGGCTTGGATTCCTGTTGGTAGTCAGATGATCCCTGAATAGAGAGTGATGTGCTGTCTCTCTTTCCATAACTGTCCAAGGCTGAGGATTTTATTACATCTTTCAAAATGCCTTTTTACTTTCATCTGAAAATGAAAATAAGTCGAGTAAAATCCAGTTAACATTTGAGGTGGGCTGCACGCTCACGCCTATAAAATTAAACTTGGTTTCCTAAGGAGTTTTATCTGTTAATACAATTTTTGTTCCTGCTTTATGAAAATTATCATATATGGCTTCCCCCCCCATTTCTTTCCTTTTTCTTTTCTTTTCCTTTTTTTCCTGCCACAGTTTGAAGTGAGAGCATTAAGTTAAATTAATTTGACTTTGGTTGGCAAACGGTAACAGCAGCACTTTAACAGCTGTTTGCTTTCCTGAATTGTCCTTGGTGCTGAAATTGCCTTTGTATCTAAACAGCAAAATGTGTTTATAGGACTGCAGAATATGGAGATAAATTTAGCCTGTCAAACAGATATTATTGGGGCTTTTTGTGATGTGTTTCTGGGAGTGGATCCTGACTACAGTGCTTTAATTCCAAGCTGTGTGTGCCTTTGGACATCTTACAGGACTGTTTGTGAAGCTTTTCTGTTTGATTTATGACCTTGCCTGTATGGACTTCTGATCAGATTTTATTCTCATTTAGTGCAAAAGGGGCTAATTATGAAAGTGACAAAGATTCTTTCATTGTGCTAAAGCTTTTTGAATGACAAAAGGGGGCTTTAAATTAAAATGAACTTTAACAAGGCATTTTCACACTGAAGTGATACACACTCTACCACTGATAGAGTAATTCATTTTCAACCCTTTCTGATTCTATAAACACATTGTCTCACAAGATCAGTAATTTTTTACCTCTCAGGCTAATGAAGAGTGGATGGTAGACCAATGAATTCTCTTTTTGCAAAGCTGTTTTGACATTCTTAATTTTTTCTTAAATATCAAAGAAAGGACAAAGAGCTGTGATTTTATTGCATTAATATTAATAATCATTTATCTGCCAGAAAAACATTTAAATATCACTTGACATTTGTGGAGAAAGATTAATGTTTAATTTACTACAAACATAGAAATACTTTGAAATAAAAGGAAACGCTTCTGGATTTGTCAAAATGAAAAAAAAAAAAAAAGACCCAACAAAATTAAGACAGACATTCAGATATAATAAAATATTCTAACCATAGCAGAAGACAAAAACATGTTGGTGCCATCTAAAATGTCAATATTTATATTACCACTTCTGATTGAAAAAAATAACACCAACTAGATAGTTTTTTAAGGTCTAATTTAAGCTTCAGCTAAGTAAGTATAAATGAGGGTAAGTAGTTTTCTGTTGCATTCATGTGGGTACAGTTCAGAGGCCTGCTTTAAATTCTATTACTACTATAAAAACAAACCCATGTAATGTTGTTCCTTGGTATTACAGAATTATATATAGTACTGTGGAGTAAAGCTAGGATGTAAACAGCATTGCTATTTTGTAATTGTTGGTAGGACTGGAAGTCAAGGAGGGCTTCCAGAACAGGTAGGTGTCTGAAAGAAGGGAAAAATAACAAGGCACAGGAGTCACAGAGTTATAGAAATGAAAATACAGGAAGAAATTTCATTACCTACGGAAGGATCAAACTGCTGTGTAATAAAGAGAAAAGCATGGAAATCGCATTGCTCTACAAAAGCACATCAGACTAGGGACTGCAGCAGAAGAGTAGGTGAACAGCGAAGTTGTGTATAAGTCTAATGTGATGAAATGGCTAAAAATGTACCCAGGCTGCATGAAAGTCTATCTGTAAATTTTATCATGGAGATTATATTATAAGATTTCACTTCGAGGCAATGAAATAATGGGATTAATGTATTGAATGAGAATAACATTTCTAGCCCCCAAACTGTTTTTGTGACTAGATTGATAATGGCATAGATAACCATATTCAGTTTCATAATAAACTAAAATAAGACTGTTTCTTGTGCAAAAGCTGTGCATAGGACAGATATTATTTAGATCCAGTTTGTGTACTGAAAGTCTATCCTTACAGTACCATCATTCAAGGAAATTCTTGTATAAGGTACATAAGCAAAATTTTAGCTCTAAAATCAGTAATTTATTAGTTAAAGAAGGTTCTTATTCAGGATCCATCTCAAAATGCAAGATGCTTTTATAAGACAAAATCTGGAACCTTTCTATTTTTACTCTTTAATAGAAAAAAAGCAAATTTTTTACAGCTGTGGTGACTTTGGAGAGGTCCTTGAGAATACTTTAGCTATAGACCTCCAGACTGATTGAGATCAATTAATTTTCCTCAACTGGCAGTTTGAGTCCTGTGGAAGGAGTCCCCTGGAAAAAATGGTGATTCTGTGTATGAGACACCAAACTAGGCCAAATGCAGAATTACAGCATTACTGTACAGTAATAAATCAACTGCAATATCCTCACTTGTAGGATGAAATAGCTGTTTTGCCTTTTGCATTATGAGAATTCTTAGGGTCTTTGCAAAATGTTGACTATATTGAGTAGGAAGCATTACATAATTAGGGCTACCATAATGTACTTAATAAAAAATACGCATCTTTTAATATTTTTAACCATTTGCAATGTGTTGCTTGCACACCTGTGATGTCTAAGTAACAGGCAAATATGAGAATGTCTTATATTAGAGGCTATAGGCAGCAATAGATTTCAGTGCTGTACATTGAACATCAGGCCCTGACACAGTACTTACTTAGAGATATGCTTCTCCCTGCTGCACACCAATAATGGTACATCCCACTGTGGTACTGTAGTTCATATTCCCTGAGTGCCTTGGTGGTTGCTTCCATGGCTAAGGCTGCAGACGTTGTTATAATTTATTTATTAACTGATTAATTATTTATTTAGGATAGCACCCATTATATGCTAAGTGACTTCCAAACAGAAATTTGCCCAAATGCTTTTCCTTTAAGAGCTTTGCTTTGAAAGATGTTATACATACACAGTCGCAAGATATTCATTTTGATAGCATATAGTTTGTTAAAGAAAGCTGAGTTTCATGGCACTAATGCAAAACCATTTTGTATTCTGATTTTCCTTTAACAAAGGTTCATTGCCATGGATAAATAACTGCCCATCTGTCATGGGAGGCCTTTGGGGAATTGAAGAGGGCGCGGAGAAATCAGTAGTCTGCTGGTTTTTCTGGGGATTTGGTGGTTTTGGTGTAGAGGGTGTCCAATGGCCATCTTAGGGCCTGGGCCTTTGATTTTTAAGCATTCTTGACACTTCCTACAATCGAAGTTGATGCATTGCTACTATACTGCTGCCACTTTCTTTCATGTATTGACATGATTTTGTGATTTTTTTTTTTTGAGAATTTGTCCTGCAGTCTTGGGTGCAGCTGATATTTTTGTAGTTCATAAGAATCTCACAGATGCAGGAGGAGTCAAGAGACTGACTCCATTTTATCCATCGTTTACAATTTTCATACACAGCAAACACTGACATTTTATTCCTTACAGCTCCAGTTTTTAGGTCCTTTAACTGACAGCACCAGTATTTATTGATAAGGGCAGTTTTGAAATAAAGCTGCAAGTGCTTAAATACCAATCTCTTCTGATGAAAACTATTGAATTCCTCCATTATGATTTTATTATATAATTTCTTTATACATATGTAAGCCTGCTTTTTGCACAATTATATTTGTAGTATATTGGGATATCTGCTGCTTGTTTATTTTGCTGTTTTGCTTATGGTGGTTTTTGAGCAATGATGATCACTGAATCTTTAGGATTGCTTGCTGCTGTTTTCCATTGTGCTCTAAACTTGGTTCACCATTAATACTGCTCCTTTTAATGAATATAAAACCACAGAAAATATTTCAGTTTGAGTTGCTTGTGTTGTCTTTCTAAATGATATTTACTCATCAGGTTTATCTTTAGAGGAAAGTTGCAAGTGATGTAAGTAGGTGGCCTTTAGGATTAACACATGATAGAAATTAAAAATTGCTTATGTTGTGAAATCTATAATAGTATTCTCATTGCAGGAGGAGCCTTAAAAATACTGCTGAATAAATTTTAATCCCTGTATTCCCATTTTCCCCTTGCTCAGATATCCCTGTAACAACAGTGACCAGGAAAAGTACTATTTTTCTGAAAGGAAGAAGTCTTAAAACTATCCATGGGTGTCACTGTCCAGACTACTAAAATACGAGAATCCTTTTGTAGCTGTTTTTAATAAAATAAATTAAACCACAGGATTTTTCCCTCCAATGTTCTTGTCTTTTATATTCAACTGATAAATTTAAGCTAGTTTGCACCTCTTTCCTTTTTCAATCAGTCCTTCCTTCTTAGAGGTTTCCAAGTCCCTTAATTTTCTGTGTGGAAAGCAGTTATGTGGCTCACTTAAAAATGGCTGTGTACTTTCTTTGCTTTCTTCAGAGGTTAGTTCCACAGCTTCCTGTTAATCTAATGATTCAGATTAGCTGCTGTGGGTGATTGATAAATTCTGCCACCTACTCTAATAGAGACAAAAGTTTTAATTTATAAAACTCTTGTGGGTTCTTCAGCCTAGGCCACGCTGTTCATTAATATTTCTGCAATTTAACTCAATGCAAAGGAATTGCAGATTTATTCATTGCACTTTTTTGGGATCTCTGAGAAAGAGTAACTGTGATCCCTGATATTATGGGCAGAATGCCCTCAGGAGATGGGTCTAATACACTTTACTTATATTGCTTGTCAGGAAACATACTGGAAAGAGTGGAAGTCAGACTGTGATGCTGAAAAAGGTGTAAAAAATCAGATTGTGCTCCCATTGTTATGAATTAGGGGCAACACCATTAAAATCAATATTGTTACTCTAATGGTATAGTTAGAAAGGATAAGAATGTTTGTAAGTTTTGGATTTGCTACTTTTCTTCATATTATTGCTGAATCATTGGGTGGTGAAACAAACAAATGGAGACCCAAAACTCTTACATTCCCAAAAGATCAATACAATTAATTTTAATGCTATATTCGTAGATAAACAAGAAAAATGTAAAAGCTACAATTTTCATGTGCTGTCAGTCACAATTAGATTTTATCACATTATCTAATTGCAACACAAGCTCAGTCAGAATCACTCAGCCTCTGTAAGTTATGCAGTAATACATACAGCTCAGTTGCCCTTCCCAGTGATGGGAGCTGGCCTCTTACCAATTGCTGGTAGGAGCTAAGGTAGTCATTGTTTCTGTACTACCTTTTTCACAAAAGCCACTGATTTACTGTCCTTTGGATGTCACTATTAATAAAAATTTAAATCATGATGGAAAGTCAACAATTTCAACTTGCTTAATCAAGGAGGGAGTGTAGAAAAAAGACTACAAATAAAGGTGAAGCGTCCAGCTTCTCAAGCCATGTACTTTTGAAATGCTTTGCCTGTTTGATAGTCAAACGTATTTCAAAGGCAATTTGGATTTTGACTGAAAGCTGAGTCATGACAGTTGCTATTGTTTTAAGTGAAACATCAGGTTCTTAAAAGAATATTACATTGTTGAATAGTACTGAGGTTTTTATCCAAAACACTGATTTAACTGTAGCAGAATAGATATTTCTTTTATTGCAGAGATTAATATATGCAATTTTAACAGTTTGAAATAGACTTTAATTTACAAGGTGCTGTATATGTGGTTTTTATGGTACTGTCTTTTTAATCAAATCATGCGCTTTGCAGTTTTGAGAATTTTGCTTTGACATATGCTTTGGGCAGGAGCTCAGAAGAAGATGGAAAGCCAGTCACAGGTTGTCAGAGATCATCACTATTTCATTATGGGCTTTTTTCTTATTTAAAAAACAAATGCTATTTAGAAGTTGTTTAGGACTTCTCATTGAACTCTCTTCACAGACAAAGACCATAAAGCCAGTGGGAATTTACAACTGATATTCTTCAATGCACTCCTTTCAGAAGATATCTAATCTTTCACTCAAGAGAAGTTTTTACAGATCTCAGTCCCCGTAGTTCCTGTTCCATTTAAAATGTATCAATAGAATTTCTTTGCTTTATCATCTCAGTGTGTTTTATGATCTTTAAGGATGAATTCCATAGAGGGTGTTCCATATTCTGCATTTAATCTTATTTTGTGAAATACAGAGTTGCATGAAAATATAGATTAGTACTGTTTGGCTATCTTAGACTTGATCCCAGCTTCAACTGGTGAAAATGATGTATATTCCAATCTGTTCCGTGGTTGTTTTTGTTTAAAGAATTTGTATAGATTGAAATGCAGCTGCAAGTGTATTAGTGATTTTCTATTGCTTTCTTGTCAAGATTTTTATTGTGTGGATGAAAAATAGCATTTCAAAACCTGGCAGCATATTGACAAAAACAGAAGAGCACTTTGTGTAATTCTCCTTTGAAAAACTACCTTTTTTAGAGACAGAGATTGCCTCAGCTACTTCCATTCATATGTATCTTGATCAATAGATTTATTGATAGCTTTTAGCCAAGATTTAATTCTTTTTTCTCCTCGGTTCACCATGGTGCTCACTTTTCTGAATTAAGAAACTAGAATTAGGCTCCTATAAGCAAGGCATACAATATGCAAGTGCTCTAGGTGTAAAAGGAGGCATTTGACCTTTTGTTGCTAATCTGTGACAGGTGCAGGCTATTTTCTTCCAAATGGTGTTAATTTTCATGTGCAAATCCACCCCCTGAAACCTGCATTCTATATATCCACCACAGGGGAATTGGTGGTCATCATGAGTACTGTAATGGACAGCTGAGAGGGATAATCACTGATATTTCAGCACATTTATGCTTGTGACTCAGTCGGTTTTAGTGCACTTCTGTTTTCACTGCTTATTAGGGAGGCTGAAGTTAGTTATTCATTGGTGGACAAAAAAAAAGTGTCTGAGAAAGTTCATGTGCAGCGAACAGCACATTGTTACAAATTAGTTTCCTTTACCATTTCTGGCAAACTCATTACAAAGTAATCGCGCCCTGCGCTGAAGTGCACTTCCTCTGGGACCAATAACTGTAAATAAGCAGGGCTGCAAGCTGGCTGATAAGTTGTTGTTCTGAAGATAACGGTCCTTTTTAGCAGAGTGTTTGACCTTTTTCTTTATATTGCCTGAGGCTTGTCTAAGACCCTCAAGGTCTATTTTTCATCTTAAAATTCTCTGTAGGAAAGCACAATGTGTGGTTTAAGAAGATTTTAGGATTGCTTAACATATCTATATTTTCTTTTCTAGTGTTTTTATGATAATTGTTAGAATGCTTAGTAAGTTTAGCCAGCATTTTCTTAAGCAGGTTTTCTTTCTTTGTGCAAAGTACACTTTGTATTGATGCAGGAAGCAATATACATTAATATTTTATGAGGACTAAGTGTATGTTGCATGATTAATAAAATGGTAACACTGGGCTTTTTTCGGACTTTTAAAGAAACTTGAAACATGCTATTGACCCTTTTCACTCTCCAAGTTTGAGTGTGTTGTACTAAACATTACTCTATAAAGCAATTTCAGCAAATATAATCAAGAATTTCAGCTTGAATGATTAAAGAAAAGTATGTCCCTTCTTTTCTCAGTTGCCAAGAGTATTGAACAGAACTGTGACTGAAAATGGAGCATGTCTTAAAACCCCAAGGCTAATTGGAAGTCAGTTTATAGACACTTGGGAATTTGATTTGTTCACATCTTACATCAGTTAAAAAAGATCTGTGCCTATATTTCTGTAAAGTAAAATAATACTAGGAAAAAACATAAACTCCTGTAACTAACTTCAGAGCGCATAGGAAAAAAAGTCCATAATATTTTGTGAAGTTCTAGCTACACTAATAAAATGCTTATTTTACTTTAGAATATAGTCAGAAAGCCACTGGACAGCCAGATGTGCACCCAAACTTTAAAATACATACATACGTATATATATAAGTAAGCAAGAATTGTCTCAAGAGTGTCAATAAATTCAGATCTCGCCGCTCATGTTCGGCTTTTTTCCCTTGCAGATCATGTTACTCAATCAGTTCATTAATTTTACATGTACCTTAAACAACATTCTTAATATCTTATGTTGTATAACATTAATCGCCAAATATAAAGCTAATCACAAATTATGGAGTGAGGGTGCTGTAAAAAATGTTGTATTATCTTGTACATGCAACTTCCGTATTTATTGAATGGGGTGGTGATGATTTTGTGCGGGCATGAACCCAAAGTAAAGCAAAGCAAAGGTTATGTTTTAGTAGCGTGAGACTTTTTTCCTTGATTTTTAAAGAACGTACTTAAGCAATGTGGTGATGAACAGACTTACTGATATCACAAGTTACCAGCCTAGCAACGTGCACAGAATAAAAGCTGTACACGGGAAGTGTTTCACAGTAGGTTTATCGAGACTGAAAACTATTGATATTTTCATTACACAAACCTGGTGCTATCTGGCTTTCTCTTAAATTTAATACCATTTCAGCTCAGCAACCATCCACCTCAAGTACTGCAGAGCAGAGGGTTTGTATTGCGTAATTGCAGAGATTCCTGTAACACAGGAGAAACTTACTGTCTAACCATTCATTACAGTCTTCTCTCTTGCCATACATTTAACAAAATAGAACAGAGAAATCAGAAGGACTATTATAGAGCTATTAATAAAAATGTTTATTTTCAGTGTTAAGTGTCAAAATGGTGTAATGGCTATAGCATAATCAGTAGTTTAACTCCTGTTTTATAGTTTCTAATGCACTTCACTGTGTAACTTGTCATATTGGAATATAATTCTCACAATTAGAATAAATCTATTTCCCATGATTACAGCAGTGTGAAGGCAGTATGTAAAATTGTTAGCTTTGCTTATGAGATTAAGGTTGGGAAGTTTATTCTTTTTTCTTGGACACCAAAAAATGCTTTTTAGTGGCATTATCAGTTTGCTACAAAGCACCTCTTACAACGAGGAAGTGTTTTGTTCTTACACTTCTAGACTTCTTTGTACCAAAACTTCTGTCTTGTTTAATGACATTGCTATGTGGGTTGAAGTTAGGCTGACAGATTGAGAGCAAAGGCTCTGATATTACAAACAATAGTCTATTGAGCATGAGGAACTTGTTGAATTGGTTACCAAAGGCATTAGTGTTTGATCCAGCCTATTCAGCAGCTAGAGACAGAGAAGAAATAATGTGCCACTGAAACGTACAAATGATACTGAACTGCAAATGGCTGCAGGTGACTATGGCAGCTGACGTGTACCACGAAGGAGCCTAGTAACAGGCTGTTCTGTAGGCAAAAAAAGTAGTAAAGTGAGATTCGATTCACCAAAGGAGATAATGCTGCACTAAAAGGGGGGGTGAGTATTCAAATCAAATATTACTGATGAAGAGAGATAACAGTGTTGGGAGTCCCAGGGAGTCATGCACACAATGATTATATTGTTAAAGATTCTGCTGGCTTTGAGGATATTATATCGGATTTACAGAGCAGACTGGCTTGGAGGGGTTCTAGCATACCAGCTCTTCTCCATCCGTGATTTCACTGACATCGGTACAACTCTCAAGCGCTAGTTTAGGGGTACTATGACTCTGTAAGGTAGTTCTGAGTGGGCCATCTGTCCCCATTCATTTCAGATCAGTTTGATGCTGAAAAACAAGCTGAAATAGGCAATAGGTCAGAAATCAAGCTCTCATTTTGCCCTGTCTTTATTTACGCAATAATCTTTTAGCGTCCTATGCCTTGCAGTGAAACTTTTTAATGATCTGTGAACTTAAAATATAAATTTAGTTGCTTCTGTGTCCTTCTTTGGGAGAAATTCAATCAAAATTTGCACTCTCGTCTGTGCTGTAGATGACTTAATCCATATCTGAAATTTCTGGGATCACTGGGAGGCATGTATACCTAGTAGTTTACATGCTGGACCTAGTCCACAGTTTGTGTTCACCTAGCTTGATGCCTTAATCTTAGAGGATCCACCAGAACCACATGTACAACTCCGCTTGAAGTGACTTGGTGTGTCCACACACTAAGCTTTGTCCAGAGAGAGCTCAAACCTGTGAGGCAACTGTAATCCAGCCTGTGGGGTTGAACAGCTTGGACCTGAATTCTGAAATAAATGAGGAATTTTGTTTTCCTAACAATGTCATATATGCGTGATATTTAATGAAAAATACAGTAAAAAGAAGTAATTTAATTAAAGGTATTACAATGCAATAGCTTGATTTTACATTCTTACTTACTTTGGATAACAATGTGTAGGAAATTATAGCTATAATAGCAATAATAGCTATAATAACAATGATAGCTATAATAGCAGTTAAGCTATGTTGGTGTGAATGATGGTGGTGGTTTGACTTAACCTGAAGCCTGTGTTGACCATGGCCAGCTGCTGGATGCCCACCCAACCGCTCTGCCACTTGCCCTCCTCAATATCTCAAGGATGGGGGAGAAGGCAAGATGAAAAGTCTTACGGATCGAGATAAAGACAGGGAGAAGGCTCACCAATTGCCATCACAGGCAAAACAGACCCGACTGAGGGAAAACTGATTTATTTCCAGTTAAAATAGGTTTGGAGAGTGAAAAACAAAGGGGAACTAAAACACCTTCCCCCCAGCCTTCACTGTTCCCAGGATCAACTCCATCCCCCCCGCAGCAAGCAGAAGCAGTGCAGGGGGACGAGGGGCTGTGGTCCATCTGTAATCATTCCTCTCTGCCATACCTCCCTCCTCACAGTGTTCCCTCGCTCCACCCTGGACTCTTCCCATGGGCTGCAGATCCTGTCAGGAGAGCCTGCTCCAGAGTGAGTCCTCCACAGGACACTGCTCCTTTGGGAAATATCCACCTGCTCCCGCTTCTTCCCACAGGATCCCTTTCCCTCCTCCTCAAACCCTGGTTCTCCTCTGACTCCCTCACTCCTTTGCCTGCGTGGTGGTTTTACCCTTCCTTAAACACATCATCACTGAGGTGCCACCATCTTCGCTGAGGGGCTCGGCTGTGCCCTGTGGTGGGGCAGTTGTGGTGCCGGCTCCAACCGGCTCCAACCAGTTACCTCAGAGCTCAACCCCCACTGCCAGCACCCAGGCATGGACACCTGATGTAGCAAATGACAAGATTTATAAGAGGTATTCTAGCTGTAAAATATTACTTTTTGGGTTTTTTTGTTGTTGTTGTTTCCTCCCCCCCACCCCAAATATTTCAAATGGCAAATGTATCCTTCAGGCAAGTATTTAGGAACAGATTGTTAGCATGAAGAGGTTTTCTGCAGAGGGAATTAGGGAAGGGAATTTTCTCCTCAAAAGAAGAATGTGGGTAGGAAAGTACAGGATAACATTAAAAATAAGGAAGACTAAAAATGTTCAATTAGTAAAGCCAGAAACAATTTAGGATAAGGAAGAAATCCTGCAAATATATTGATGAACAGGGTTGAAAATGGGGTTTTCTCGCTGCTTTTGAGACTTGTGCTCATACTAATAGCCTGTTACCAATGACCAGTCACATTGACTGAAGTGGACTTGCAGAGCTCAGGTAGCTCAGATAACACTATAAGTAATTATTTGAACCAAAAAGTATCTATCTAACCCCCAAATATATAAATAACCCTCAAAATCTATCTGAAACCATAAACCCAGGTTTTCAGAGCTATTTTTTCTTAACAGGTATAATATATCATGTGAGCTAAAGCATGGCCCTGTCTTACAAGACCTGATGAGATGGGTTTTGGATTGGGTCAGGAAAATGTGAAGTCTCATTTTCGTACTGTAGAAATGAAATGGACACTCAAACCCCTGTCTTTAAAAGACTTGGCAGACTTCAAAGGAAAAATGCCGATTTAACAATTTAAAAACACTTAGCAAGTTTTCCCAGTGTTGAACTTCATTTCTGTAGCCAGGGTGGTTGCTTGCTAAATAACGCCATAGGGGACAATGTAGCTCTGACTATATTTAAAAATATTATTCCATGAAATTCACCAGGAAAAAGCTGAAGCAAAATCTTGCAGCCTCTGTGTCTTTGGAAGGAGGTGATAGTGGCCGCAGATAGTGAAGTATTAAGGTAGCTTTTGAACCACAAAGAAAGTGAAGGCTGGCCCATCTATGGGGAGAGAGGGATGCTCGGAGAACCAGCCAGAGAATGAAATCCATACAGGTGGGGGCTAAAAGAGGTGCAGAGGGGAGGGTAGGGGGAGGAAAAGGAAACAAAAGAATGTTAGGACACTTAAGTAGAATACTCAGATAAGTGAAGACAAAAAGTCAATTTGATCAAATAATAAAAATCCAATTTGTCTTCTTTTTGGTATATTAATATGCATGTAACTCACTGGTATGTATTTTATTTTGTGACTATGATTAAGTCTTTTAATAATAATTCTGAACTGTTACAAGGGTTATTATACTAGTATGTTTTAATCAACAGAGGCAGAAGGTCTTACATTTTTTCTCAGTGTAGTTCCAGTCATTCATTAATATTCATTCTTTTTCATATGTTCTTGGTAGGTAACCTTGGACGGGTGGACCACATCACAGAGTTCGAGTATGACCTGTTCATTAGACCAGATACTTGTAACCCACGCTTTCGAGTTTGGTTCAACTTCACTGTTGAAAATGTAAAAGAGTCACAGGTAAGTTATACTAAAGTAGATAGCATGATAGCTTTAAAAATTGCTTACTCCAGAATATAGTTTCTTAAACAAAAAGAGATGATATCCAGCATTTATAAGTACGAATTTACTGTAAAATATATTTTTGTTCTTTGAATTTTTGTAAGTAAAAGGAGACTTCAGCATGACTGGATATCACCGTGGTTTTCAGCTATCCAAGACAGGACATAATTACAAAAGGCAGCATAACGTTTTCCACCTAACTGGAGTTGTATTAGTAAAAGCTGCGATATGTTTATGTTAATATGTACAAACCAAATATATCTGTTAATACATGAAAAAGAAGTCCATCATAGCTGTTCAAGTATTATCACTCATTTAATACATGTAGAACAATGTATTACTCTAGTGACTTGTAGAGTTGCCTGCCAATGTGTCCCTTGTGAAAGAGGTTTGAATGTGAAACATCTTGATAGGCAACTATTTCACCTGCTTTTAAAGGATGTTTATTTGCAGTAAAAAAAATTTGCATGAGAAAGAAACTTTCTTGCTCCATTTTCTCACTTATCTTTAAGAAAAAAAAGAAGTTATGTACATTCACTTTGACAAACCAAAAAAGATTTAATTCCACTTTTCACACCCACCTTGTGTTTTATTCTGGTGTTCTGTCTTAGTTTATCATAATCAGACTGTCATTTTCACTTAATGGAAAGAAAACATATTTAGTAAGAGAAAAAAACTGCAGAAGCTTGATATTGGTATTCCTGCGAGACTAATATCTTAATACCCACCACTGTACCATTCCTGTTACAACTAGAAATCATCAAATTGTTTATCTGTTTTCCTGGAGCCTGATACTTTATCAGACAGACCCTTTCCTCTGCTGTGCCTTACTCATCTATGATCAAATTATATAGTCATGAGAAGAATGGGAATCTGTCTCAAGGATGCAAAGAGATCTGGTAGAAAGATACAATATATATCTAGTGCTTACAGGATATTTGTTTTCATGGTTGTCTACATGAAAGAGAATGGTTTCACTATTAAGTTTGACTTGTGAGGTCTGTTTTTATAATGTGTGTTCCTATAATCTTTTTTTCATCTCTCCAATTTCCGTTAAAATGAGACCTGCATGAACGTAATCTAGTCTGGAACCTTTTTTAGGTCTTTGTACTAGAGGACACTGGCAGTATTAGTCATTGCAGCTGAGCTATATTAAATGAATGTTAGAAATTGCTACATCAAACATACTGTGCAATCTGGTTTGTGCATTTTAGTTATAGTCTTTTATGTATTATTAAAAGATAATAACAAGGAAACTCATACTAATCAGTATTGCTTAAAAATGTTGCAGTAATACACAGGTAACTTTGATCACTTTATGTGTAAATGTAGATCTTTTAATAACTCTGTATAAATAATTACCTGTATAATATTATATTTATTTTGATGTATCATATAGGTGATGTGGGACAAAGGCAGATCCAGGTCTGGTTTCAGCCATTTAAATGAGGATTCAAAAGGAGTAGCTGCTTTTATTACTTTTATATATCATCTGTATTACATTTCCTTCTCACTGTTCTTCATCCTTCTGCTTCAAATTCTTACACAACTTTCTTTACTTAGATTTGAAGACTGTCTTCTCATTATATCTCAGCTTTTGTATGATGTTTCACACTAAAGCTTTTTCTCAGACAGAAATTCATTTCAGTAGTATCATCAAGAAAACAAGAAACCTTCCTTTATTAACTGCATTAGAAATTATCCATTCTGTTTTTCTCTTGTTGCATCAGACCAATCATTGACATCCAGCAGTGGACAAATGGATTAAAAAATGAATGAAGAAGACAGAGTGTAAAAACAACAGCCATAAAATTCTAGGAACACAGAATTTTACCGTATGTACTTATGATTTAGGTTTCAGTTCTACTATGATAGTAGTGCAGTTTTTGCAATTCGATTAGTGTAGTATTTTGTTATGAATGCAGCAATAGATAAAAGACCTACCAGAACTTTAAGTATTTAAGTATTTTTCCACTTTGGGGCTTTTGGACTTTCATCATAAATGAAAATGTGAACAGCAGGTTGAAGGAGGTGATCCTGCCTCTCTACTCTGCTCTTGTGAGACCTCACTTGGGAGCACTGTGTGCAGTTTTGGTGCCCTCAATATAAGGACATGGAGCTGTTGGAACAAGTCCAGAGGATGGCCATGGGTATGTCAAGGGGCTTGAATATCTCCTGTAGGAAGACAGGCTGAGAAATTCAGGGCTGTTCAGCCTGGAGAAGAGAAGACTGCGTGGAGACCTCATAGCAGCCTTCCAGTATCTGAAGGGGGCCTACAAAGATGCTGGAAAGGGACTCTTCATCAAGGACTGTAGTGATAGGACAAGGGGTAACGGGTTTAAACTTAAACAGGGAAAGTTTGAGTTAGATATATGGAAGAATTACTTTACCGTGAGGGTGGTGAGGCACTGGAACAGGTTGCTCAAAGAAGTGGTAAATGCTCTATCCCTGACAAGTTGGACATGAGCCTTGGGCAACATGATCTAGTGAAAGGTGTCCCTGCCCATGGCAATGGGTTTGGGAACTACATGATCTTAAGTTCCTTTCCAACCCTAACCATTCTATGATTCTATAAGTGAATCTGCCCAGCCCTTTGATAATTAGCCCAGATTTCCAAGGACACAATGCTTATATGATCATACTGTCTACTTGCTAGCTGAGGTTTTTTTGTGGCTCTTGATCTTTCTCCTCTCCTTTCTCCTTTAATATCTTCTTAACTCTTTGGCAGTTTCAGCACCCCTGGACAGGGATTCCTGTAAGTTTCAGGAAAGCATGCTGCCTAATGGGCAAGAGACCCTTTAGTGTTCCCACTGGCAGACAGGCTATATTATGAGATCATTTGTTATTAAACATCAGAGAATCCACAGAGGAGATGCCTAGGAGAAAGTACATATTGGAATTTGCATTTTTAAGATACTGGAGAATACAACCATGAAATCCAAATCCATAGTAGTTTTGCTTCTTGCAGAACTTCTTTGTTTTATTATTATTATTCCTCTTCCAGTTCCTTCAATATCTTCTTTATAATGTGGAACTTAAAATTCAATGGACAATTCTGAGTATACTAACATCCCAACTTGCAGAGAAGGGACTGTAGTCCCTTTGCACTGTTCCTGTCTTGGTATAGACAGCTGAAAATTGCAGCAGCCTTTTGTTGCTGAATCACTATGGAAACTCATGCCCAGTGTGTTTTTCACAATCATACATAAGTCTTTTTCAGAATGATTGCTTCCTTCCTCCTGTTATGTCTTAGGTTACTGTTGTGCTTCAGTAACAAGGGCAGGTAATAGAGCTAAGTTCTGTAGCTCAGCATGGAGAACCCTAATCTTTTCAGAATTCTCA